CATTTTCCCCCAGTTGTCTTGCAAAATATTTCCTTAGCTGTGTGAGAGGACCTTGTACACCTTTTCATCTGTTGTTTGCTTTTGTGCTATATAGCAATTTGTTTAAGATGATCTAAGAATGTATTACTAACTGAAGTTCAGTACGTTATAAGGTGATTACAGTTGTTAATGACCCTTTTAACACATTTTTATTAATTAGATGGATATCAATGTTGACAATGTGGTGGACTCCGAAATAGAGGACCTTATAGACAATACCGATGATGGAAAACTAGTATGGGATGATTCTCATATTGAAGCTTTCATCATCTGTATGGAAGAAGAAGTTTAGGCTGGTAATCGGAATAACGCAACTTTTACTACAAATGGTTGGAAGAATATACGGAAAGGTATGACTATCCGTACAGGCAAGAACTATGAACCGAAACAACTTAAGAGCAAATTCAACCACATGAGGGTAGATTACAGAGCCTTTATGAGTTTGTTAGGAGAAACAGGCGTGTGATACAATGCTGAGACGGGCATGGTTATAGTTGAAAATGAAAGATGGACTAGATTGATCAAGGTTAGTTTTTAAAATAAATTTATGTTGATTTTACAAAAAATTATACTTAACTTAATATTAAAAGTAATTTAATAATTTGTAGGTGAATTCCCAATATGGTAAGTATCGAAAGAAGCCATGTAATCATTTTGATAAGCTCACCACTATATTTGGAGGCACACATGCTACAGGTGCACATGTCCATACTTCCTACAATCTACCCATTCTCAACCAAGCCCCCGTATACCATGAAGGCACACATACCTCATTTGACCTTAATGATGATTTTGCTGAGTTAGGCGGTCATGAGTTCAGTCCTTCTTCTAACCCTCGTGGTAAGAAACAAAAGAGAGAGAGAGTTTTGCTGATACAATGGATCGTGTTATGGAGAAAATGAGTGAGACTTGTAGAGAGAAAACAGATCGAATTGAAAGGGCCATAGTCGCTTCTTCATCATCTAATATGAAAACAGGGCATGAAGTTGGGCAGGTTGAAGTCAATTCTCCGGATAAGACAAAAGGGTGATTTTAAATTATGTTGTTACATTTTGAATAAGTTGGAAGGCGTTGATATGAAACAATATGCTAAAGTCACCCAAATGTTACGTAATGATGAACTTTGGAGGGATTTCTTTCTTAATGACCTTCCGGATGAAAAGAAGGTTGGTTGGATCAATGGAATTTGACTTGGCATGTTGGTTTTATTATGACTTTGGATGACTGTACTACTACGTATTATGACTTCTTGTGCGTCGCTTTTATTTCTTATTGTCTTTTGCTATGACTTTGGGTGATTGTAATATTAACTACACTCGTTGATATGTTATTTGGTTTCATTGTAATGACAATATAAGTATTTCGCTTGTTTTGATTTTTGTTGTTGTCTTGCTTCAATTTTTTATTTGGTATTTTGCTTGAGATTATTGTAATTTATAATGTTTGTTAAATGTTGTATTATACAGATGGATATTAGGACAATAATTGACTTATATGATTATGGTGATGAGGAGAATGACTGTGTCATCATAATGGCATGTATGTTGGACTATTATAAGAAACATTACGAGAAACGACCTTGTAGGGATTCTCTTTTAACCAGGGAAGCATATATAATGGAGATCTTGCATGGACATGAAAGTAGATGTTTTGAAAATTTCAGGATGTCCACCCCTGTTTTTTTGAAGTTGTGTGGGGAGTTTAAGTCATTAGGGTTGAAAGACTCAATAGGTGTAAGTGTTTATGAACAAGTGGGCATATTCTTGTTTACTTTAGCTCATAATAAAAGGAATCGTGTGGTCGCAGAAAGATTTCAACACTCTACCTATACAATTTCAAAATACTTCCATGCGGTTTTACAAAAAGTCTGTGATTTAGGGAAACAGATTATTGTCGCCCCAGATTTTACCCAAGTTCCTAACCATATAAGGAGTTAAAAAAGTACCACCCTTTTTTTAAGGGTTGTGTTGGGGCAATTGATGGAACTCATGTCCATGCGAACGTGCCTGTGGACCAGCAAATACCATTTCGTGGTAGGAAGGGGGATACCACCCAAAATGTAATGGCTGTTTGTGATTTTGATATGATGTTCACGTACGTCGTAGCTGGATGGGAGGGGTCTGCTAATGATTCTAAGATACTGAACGAGACAATTAATAACGAATATTTGCATTTCCCAATGCCTCCAGAAGGTAAATGTCATTCATCTAATAATTTTGCAATACTTATTTAAAATATTATGGTTCCCAAACGTGTCTTATAGTTTGTAAAATGGCAGGGAAATATTATTTGGTGGATTCCGGATATGCCAATCAACCGGGTTTTTTGGCTCCTTACAGAGGCCAACGGTACCACTTTCAAGAGTACCGTAGAGCTCATCGGCAACCCCAAGGTAAAGAGGAAATTTATAATCACATGCACTCGTCATTACGAAATATAATTGAGCGTTGTTTTGGGATGCTTAAGATGAGATTCCCCATCTTGAAGTAAATGCCTCCTTATAAGTTTGAAGCTCAAGTTGCTATTGTTTTAGTTTGCTGCACACTTCATAACTTTATAAGAAAGGAGGCGCATGTAGATCCAATATTTAATGATGAAACTGTGGAGGCAATGATAGATGAAATTTTTGGAGATGATGAAGTTGATGTTCAACCTAATGTATTGCAGTCTCGCTCGCGACCAATGGATATTGTACACGATTATATTGCCGATACTATATGGAATGCAAGTCATCACCCTTGAAATAGGATTTACATGTTTACCATGTTTGGATAACTGTAATAATTACTTTATACTTGTTTCATTTGTTAGTATTTGGCTCTACTGTAACAACTACTTTATTTTATTTCTTTCTTATGATTTCGATAATTGTAATAACTATTTTGATTAACTTTATAATTTTTATTAACTTCTTTGGATCAGTCTTATAGTTTGTATATGCAGTCATGTATAAGATACAGGGTGACGGGCCACCTTGTGCATGTGGAAGGGGTCGAATGAATCTTTATACGGCTGGAACTTCTAAGAATTATGGACGATCATTCTATAGATGTCCAGCTTGGGAGGTATACAATTTTCTTTGCATTAATAACAATATTTTAACTACATCTTAGTGTTACATGTGCATTCTAATAATGTACAACTCTTTTTTCGAATTTAGTCACATGATCGTGCATTTATATGGTTGGATGACATGCACCAACGTCTGCAAGTGGGTGGTCATGTGCAGGAAGAGTTGGAGGATGTAGTTGCTGTTATGCAAGCTCAACAAAATCGGCAAAATTACATTATCTATGGATGTTGTTGTTGTCTTACTATAATTATATTCTTGTTGTTTTTGCTCATGTTGTTGTTATTTATTATTGTGGCTGTTGAGAAATGATGTAATATTCAAAATTTTATTTTATGACCACGACTTTTATTATGACTGTTGACGAATGCTGTAATATTTTTGATACTCATGTATGTAATATATTTAAATTCATGAAACTATGATATATTGAAACTTTATTTCAGTTTCATAGGCGGTTTATTTTTAATTTATTTTAATAGTTTTTATAATAAATTAAGATAAATGGAGGATATATACACACACACACACACACACACACACTTCTCGTTATATTAATTATATATTAAAATTATACAATCATTTTATCTAACTTTATACTTAATAAAGTTAGCAAAAATGTATTTAAGAAAATATTATTTAAAAACATTTTTAATCCAAAATATTTAATTATTTTATTTTTTTACTGATTTTGATTACACTTTCAGTCTTCCAAACATGTTTTGTTCTCATATTTCTTAGAACAATATACATTACCAAATATCTTTTATCATGTTTTCATTCCATGATTCGGTAGAGTAAACTTAGAACACCAAATATATTTTGTTCTTATTTCAGAACATCACACTACAAAATACTTATTCAGTTCTAAACTAGAGTAATATAATACATCACAGTACACTTTTCAAACGGGGTGAGTGTCATTGAATGGTATGTGATGCCGTTGAGAGAATTTATACTCCTATTTTTCTCTCTACATAAAAGCTCACCCACTTTTGTGCCTCACCTACTTTTTCCAGGAAAAAGTTTGCTTTCTTAAATATGTGCATTGAATGAAAGGAAAAAGTACCCTAATTTAAGAAAAAAAAAAAAAACAAAGAAAAGGCAGAGATCGAACAACTTAATCATAAAAAATAAAAAATCTTCACTCTGTTTCTCTCTATCCTGTATACTTGATAGTGTTACCCAACAATAGAATTCACGAGGCAATAGTTGAACTTGGATTATCCTGTCATAAGTACGGAGAACTATCCTATATTATCAATGGCAATAGTTCTGTGCCTTTGCTTTTGTTGCGGACTACTCAGAAACCAAGAAAAAACCTAGGGCTTATAGGAGTTTTTTTTTTTTTGTCTGGGAAAGTGACATGAATTATTATGATTGATTAGAAAGGTTAGAAAGGGAAAGAATTTGCTGCAGATTTGAAATTGATTTTATGATAAAGAGATTGACAGACATTTCTCACACAGGCAGATTTAAAGTTATTAATAAATTTAAATAAGATATGAATAATTGAGTTAAAGTTACACTGTGTCAGTCTATTGTTACATAAAAATAAATTAATAATAATAATTTCTTATATAATATTATATGTAGGACCATATATAGCTTATTTTCCTTTTTAAATTAATTTTCTTTTACTGAAGAAAAATATATAGTTCTTGCAGCAGTGGAATGACCAATATATTGAAATTTTTTTTATTTAAAAATATCAATATTTTAAATTAGCAATTTAAACCATTGTTTAGGCCAAGATTGTCTTTTTCGTTCATTTGTCAATGCGCCATTGCTTGCATGTAATGGTGGTGCTATGAAGGTATTTATTGTGTTGGTTGTGAATTTATGATTTACCCAACCTAACAAGAGAAAAATGAGAGGCTCAGAGCCTTTAAAACCTTAGTGTGAATGGTAGTGTGCATGTGTCATGTGTAGTCTTTAAAATTCTCTTGCAAACCCATCTTTGCAGCGGCCTCTCGTCACACAGAAGTGGAAGAGGGAGAAAGAGAGTTGGGTGGAGAGATTTATTTATTTATTTATTTTTTTGGGGTTTGATTGAAGTTTTGGCTCTAACCATTATCAAAGGGTCAACCAACATTATGTTTCCTCAGTCTTCAGGTAGTTAATTTCATTGATCCATGCTCTTCTTAATTTGCGTTTTTTTTATTTTTTTGGGGGGGTTTGAATGACATGTTTGTTTTTTTATTTTATTTTATGAACCATCTTCAGCGGCATGATTCTTCTTATTATTATGATGTTAAATATCTTTATGATTGTGATGCTAGCTTTGGGTATAAATAAAAATACTTCAACCACTAATGTCAATATTTCAAAAATATTATTTTTTTTCTTTCAAATTCTAGGTTTATTTGTTGGGAAGAGCGAAAAAACTCACGGGAATGGGTGGAATAGGGGAAAGAAAAATAGGTATGTTTTCAAGGACTGTTCTTTTGTTAATTAAGCATTGTATTAATTTTCTTTCTCATGTATTTGAAAATATTCCGAACATCATTTGCATTAGTTAATAAAACCATATTTTATTTTATTTTTTTGGCCAATTGAACTATGACCCTTGCTTGAAAAAGTTTTGAATCCAACCGTTTCATTGAGTCTTCAAGTATTAGATGTATTTTTTGTTTTCACATCTATTTTGTTTTGTTTTTTCATGTTTTGATTTTTTGTTTCATTTTCTCGTCAAACAGTGAGTTTTTTTCATTTCACATGTGTTTCGTCAAGCAGTGAGTTTTTTCATTTCACATATGTTTTGTCAACACAGGGTATGAATACTTTATATTTATTTTTCTGTTTTATTATTTATTTTTGCGTTTGTCTGACGTGTCAAACAATGTTACAGCGCAAGGCACACGTGCCACCAGTGGTAAGCTCTTTGAGCAAGGATTACCACCCGTTGTGCGTATTCCGGAGCATAGCACAAAATTATGGTTTCAACTGAAATTTTCAGCTCAGTTTCCGATGCCCTTATTGTGGAATATCTTGTTCCCGTATGTGCCGATGCGGCCTCTTCCTCCGCCATTGCAGTTCCTGCCTCCGCCACCTTTAGGCTTAATCAAGTAATATATATATATGAAATGCTGTTATTTTCTATGTTCAGTATAATATTATGTTAGCATATATATTTATATATATATATAAAATTCTTGTATATTATTTGTATATGTAGTAAACAGTAAGCCTTGCAATACAGCTTGTCAAATAGAGGTTCTTTGTCTCGACATAGGAGAGGGGTATTATGCAACGGCTTGAAACCGAATGGTGGTTTAGTGCTCTAAGGCTATAAAAATATTACAACGTATTACTTTTGGAGTGAAATAAAAACATGTGATATAAGTGGTGGACTTATAAATTGAGAGGAAAAGATTTTGTTGTTAACCAACTTCTTCTTCGTTTTTCATTTATATAATAGAGTAATGATGCTTGCTGTATTGATTTGTTGCTTGATTGGTTATTCATGCTTTGTATATATAAGTTGAGGGTCCTATTTTTTTTATTTATGTGATTTATCGTAATGAATTGTCCGATTTATTTTTTTTAATCGGTCTATTTATGTTGTAATGAATTGTTAGATTTATTTTTTTAATTTGTCCATTTATGTATAAATAAAGAAATGGGACCCTCCACTTATATAAACTATGCATAAATAATCAATAAAAAACATTCGGTTCAACAAATTGGTGCAAGTATCATTACTCTATATAAGAAGAATTTTGGAGTTGAAAAAATTGACTATTTGTGTTAGATAGACACAAAAATTCACAATTTCTAAGCTAAATTAAGAGTTTTTATTTATTTATTTATTATTTTATTTTTATGTATGTTTATTGGTGGGGCTACCATGTATACAATACCCCTCTGTTGTTATAAACTGGTTCTCATATGCCTTCCGTTGGATATCATCTTTATAAGAATGTCCAGCACGCTTGTATTGACTGTCAGCTACTGCTTTGTAATAAGAATGCATCTAACATATCTAAAAAGTGTCACACAATCATTCGATTTTAATCAATAGTAAGTTGTCACATAATTAAATATGTCAACTCTTAAATTGTAAATTTATAATTTGGTGGACTACATGGGTTTTTTTTTTTTTTTTTTTATTTATTCATGGGCCGTCTTTCTCTCTCTTGCCGTTTCAAAGCTATTTCTTTACTCACCCCAAACCCTTGTCATGTGAAAAATAATGGAAGGATGGGATCCAATGGTTCATCTGGTGTACTAAACGTCATAGTTTTGATGAGTGTGTGTGTGTGTTTTTAATTTTTTTTTTTTTTGGGAAAGGTTTTTTTTTAGAGTTTTTCTATAATTTTTTTTATGTTGTTGGCCGCCGTTAGAAAATTTGGGCCCAAAAAATGCATTGAAAAGTTGGACCCAAAAAATCCATTCATGCTAACAAACGGACAATGGTTAGGTCCTCTCTTTAAGGGGATAAAGTTTGTTAAAGTTCATATACTTGTTTACAATTAAAAAAGAACGAAAAAAAAGAAAAGAAAAAAGATGGACATTACCCATGTTCTTAGGGTCCAGCTAGCTAGCCCGGTTGTAATAATGTAGTAAATGACCTTGGAGAGTAGTCTCCACCACAATTCCGAGCACACTTCATTAGTTGCTCCATGAATACCAGTCTCAGCCCCTTCTCGGGGCTCGACATCGTGGTGACGGCAAAGTTGTCTTCCTCCTTGTCTTTCTTTTGGTGCCGAAACCACCACCGCTACAACCACTCCATTTTGCTAGCTCCAAGAGGCAAAGTGCTCGGAATGTTGAGTTTGTATTCGAAATTCGTGTAGGAGAATTAGTTTCGTTTTTTTATTTTGAAAGGCTAAAATTTGTGGAGAAAGTTATGTCTTAGTATGTTTCCACTTTTAAAATCAAATTATTTAAAAAAAAGAGGGGTAGGAATTTAAAGGCTCTTAATTTGTCATCGTTGTTGGGATGCCCAGCCAATCAACATGTACAATTCATCAGCAAATTAAGCCACAACATATAGCAGTTACCCGTCTTGATTCCATAACTTGAACTTTTTTGTCTGCCATCCATCTCGAATCAAATTGGATCCATTTAAATGTAAAAACTACTCTTAATTAACAAAATGAAACATGTGAATTGGTTGGACAAAACATGACTAAGATAGAAATTGCAATTGAAAAAGAAAAAAGAAAAAAGAAAAATGTCATACCATTAACCCGTTACCAAGCTTTAAAACTAAGAAAAAAGAAAAAAGAAAAAAGAAACTCAAAATTGGTATAATTAGAACGGGTAGAATCAGGCTTTTGAGTTTCTCTAGTTTTAAACCTGTCAATTACTATAACAACGACTACTAAGTCTTTTGGTTTGAATTTTTTGGGGTCGGTTATATGAATCCTATAGTTTTATTTTACTGTGTTTAAGGTCATAGTCTCGGCCAATCCACATGCTTTCATGTCTTTCCTTACTAACTTTACTCTCAATATGAATAATGTCACTTTTATTAACCGGTGCACTTAAAATGTGTCAGACGGAAAAAGTACTACTCCATCCATCATTTCTACTATAAATTCTATTCAACCCAAATAGAAAGTGAGAGACACCTTACTTTTTCTAGGGGTGTCTCATTCCTTCCGTACGTTTCATTTATTTTTCCATCACTCTAACCAAATAGATTTAGGTGTGAAAATGTCCCCTTCATTGATGAATAGTAAATATTGGGTGAGCTGGTATGCCATGTCAATGGTATGCCTAACCAATCAACAAGCACAAATTCAATCAAATGATACATGTTTATTGGTTGGGCAAAACTTGGATATGATAGAAATTACAATTGAAAAAGAGAAAGAAAAAAATAAACCAATGATCTATATGATTCAGTATTTTACTCGTTTATTTTGTCAAATGAGAAGAGCCAACTTTCACAAATTCTATGAGCATAACAAATTCTAACAAAATTCATCATTTGTTTCGTTGCCAAATATATGATCAAAGTATCGAGCAAAGTATTTTTTATACACATACATATAGCCACAATGGCTTAGGGATTCATTTAAAGACCATCGGGTGATCCAAAGACCTCCAGCATCTCAAAATATTTTTTATCCCTCCCTTTATTACTAGAAATTAGAAGTGAAGATGAACACCAATATCTAAAAAGTTTATATATATATATATTTTTATCTCCATCCCTTTATTACTAGAATTTAGAAGTGAAAATGAACACCAATATCTAAAAAGTTTATATATATATTTTTATCTCCATCCCTTTATTACTAGAATTTAGAAGTGAAAATGAATAAAGATAAAGATAGTTTGGTCATGAACTATGTTATACCAACTGGCAAAATTTTCATTTGAGTCAGAGAAATTATTATCATGCCCCAGCTAATCACTAGTCGAGGCATAAATAAATGTGTCGATTTTGTTTAATTTTTATTCTCATGTCAATTAGTAATTGATCGGAATTAGTGGTCTTGGAATCAAATAATAATTTCTCTCAAGAATATAATTATCTCGTCTATATTATAATTTAGTTATGGATCACTTGGGATAGTAAACTTTTCGCTCTCGCTCTTCTCATTGATGGTTTAAATCATATTAAATACTTACTTGCTTTTCTTACATCCATTAATTTAAAAAGCCCCATAAATGAGATGGGTTGAAATATTTCATCCTCCGTTCTTTTTGTTTTGAGAAGTTTAGCGTTCGAAGAGATTAACATTGAACTTCACCAGCATTATCCTCTCCACAACATCATCTATACCGACCAACATCCTGATAATTCATTCGAACAATTAGTACAGTTGTCAATATGACATAGAATTAGGAACAAGTGACAATCACAAGGACACGTTAATCTGTATACATTAATAATCAGAATTTGTTTCTTTTGTATATAGCTTAACCCACTATATGAATCTCTTAGGGCCCGTTTGTAGAGGCTTTAGTTTTGTTTTTTTTACATTGGGCCAGTTACTGTAGCCGAATTATGGGCTGAAGTATGTTTGGTAAATTGGGCCATGCTTCCAATAGTGTCGAAGGTTTTCCAAAATAGCCCCAAATTTAAAAAGCAAAAAATTGATGCAAATTAAAGTGGAAGCATTTGGCCCACATATAAAATCTATTCTGAAAGAATTTGGGCCATCTTTCCCAACATTTTCTCTATTTTTCTCGAACGAGAAGTCCCAATTTTCAAAAGCAAAAAATTGATGCTGGTTGACACTTGGACGTGTGTCAAATTAAAGTGTGGCCACATATAGAAAGGTATTTTGGGTGTTTGGGTTTTGCATTTTGGGCCCACATCACGTTTGGAGTGGGCTGATGTAGTATTGAACAGTAATAAAACAAATCCAAAATAATGGCCCAAAACCATATCATTAACTTTTGGGGTGATATGGTGACTGCGGCGGAGATATCAGGCCCAAAAACTGATATCAAACTTATATCAGTGACTGTAGCGGCCATAGTCAGTTGTCATGAATCAACGCGAGGCACCATTCATAATAATAATATAATTATATAATACTTACAGTTATATGACACAAAGTTACATTTAATACTTTGTTTTATATAGCATTTAATTATAAAGCAAAACAAAAAATTACTTTATTTTTTTTCAGACTTTTAAAATTAACAAAGTCAATTTCTTTGGAGAAACAATCTAAATGAATTTGCTTATTAATTTAGTCAATTACTTATTAATTATTATACAATCTGTTTCATGTTTGTTGAGGAGTAAAATATTATTATATTATTGCATCGAACAAGAAATAAACTATAAATTTGTTATATATATATATATTCAAAAAGTAAAAAAATTCGTGGTTCAGATCCAAATATGTGCCAATATTTTTAATTTTGGTTTCAATTTTCAAGAAACCATCATAAAAAATTATTCAATTCTAATTTAGAGTGAAATGGACTGAATCGAATTGTATACACCATGGTAAAATTCTTGAATAATTGCATGGTTATAAACTTTGTAATATATACAGTCCACTAAATATTCATAATCGAACAATTATTCCACAAACTTGACATGACGCATTATATAATGAATTTTCGGTAAATTCTTTTTCTTTTTTTTGTTCTTTTTTTTCTTTTTCTTTTTTTTTTTTCTAAATAAATCTACCTTATTCACTTTCTAAGTTTTGTGAGAGACTATTCTTATAAACCCAGGAACATGCAGGCATCTATGGCAAAGAAACACCATATGACACAATATGCATACATACAATTATACGTGTTCCTCTTTAATTTTGCATAATTATTTGAGGATTTTTGCCTTTATGCGCTGTAGGTGCAAAATTTCGCTCAACCAATAATAATTAAGAAAAATAAAACAACTCACTCAATCAATAGGAAAAATAAATAAGAACAATATATGTCGAAGCGTAGAATTGCTTTATCCCTTTATTGGAGGTCTAAGCTTCTATTTATATACAAAAGATTGTAAAATTATGGTAGGACTCGCGTTGCTTGTCCTCCAATTCTTTCTATATAAACATTCTTTGCTAATAGAGTTCTTTCCATTGTCTAATTTTCAATACATAGAACTTGCCTTGTACAGAACTTCCT